TTCCGTTAAATGCCTAATGCCCTAGAGTATGTTTTGTCTTGAAGTGGTATATGGCAGAACCTGTTTAGAGCAGGAAGTTTTGGGGGCTCTGGGGTGCACCTCACCCTGCCCTTTAATACAGTTTAATTCTTCCATGTGTTCCATGCTTCTCCTGCCTGCCACCTAAACGCCAGTGCCAATTGTTTTCGCTCCCATCACCTCCATGCCCCCATCCCCTCTGGTAAACAGTATATTTTTTCACAGAGTCTAAAGGTTATTTTGTAGTGTTTTGCTAGTTTGTTCTCTTTGGTTATTTATATTCTGTGAGTGAGGGAAACCATCCAGTAAATAAATTCTTAAAAGACAAAGTTGGAATTCTGAGAAGTGGTCTTTGAATAAAAGAGTGACAGAGCACAGAGAGTGCATAGTCTTTAAGGGCTCAAGGCAAAATATAAATCAGAAGACAGCTCTGTTCTCAAGGACCCCAGAGTCTCATTGGGAGTCAACACATACACAAGTCGTTATAATATGGTGAGAAAAACCCAGTACCAGAAATCAGAACTGAGTGCTCCGAAGGGCTCGATTCACTCAGTGTGGAAGAATCTTGGAGGGGATCACTGGACAGGCACATACAGCAGAGGTTGTAGCTCATAAGGAAGAAATGTAGCTCATAAGGATCCCCAAATGAGAGAGTGAGAAAAAGAGAGAGAAAGATAAAGAGAAAGAGAGACAGGTGTTCAAGGAGTAAGACAGCATTTAATCCTATATGCAATTATCTCAACATTATTTCTTGTAACAAAAAAGTGGAAACAATGTCAACATTGCCAACATTTGCTAGAAATATTACAGGCAAAATGGGAAAACATGCAGAACAGGATCAGGATGGCAGGCATGGAAGACAAATATTCACTGAAGTCAAGACCTTGGTATGACTCCAAACTTAGCAGGCATTTCTTGGGAGTCCATATAACAACAAATAAAATGATAATCAATTACTTAGTATTTCTTTCATATTAGCAAGTCTTGCCTAAATATTTTATGCTTTATCCCCTTGAGAATGCTCAGAGCCACCTTCATCTAAGTACAGGTGACGAGAGAGGTCTAGAGAGATGTGACCACGGTCAACTCATGGCATTTCGATGCACACCCCATGTGGACCTTTTTGTGAGAGTGTGGGGCGCCTATGGATATCTAGTCCCCCCAGCCCCTCAAGGCCATGTTTAAGGTGACAGTAGCCATTTGGCCATTTTAGAGCTTCTCTTGTTCCTTCCACCTGGTTTAGTCTTCATACTGGTTGAGACCCAATGGAATGAGGAATTTTTTTTTTTTTCAGAAGATTCCTCTGTTCTTTGTGTCCATGAATTAACCTTCTTGAAATGCAAAGACAAATCTTGAAAATGCAAGGGAAGACAGATGCCGACCCTGTGTAGAGAGGCCTTCTCAGGTACTTTGTCAAATGGAGAGGTGTGGAAATTTTAATTCATGTGATATTTCCAGGCAGGAAATATAGAGCAACTCTAAGTCTTCAAGATTTCCATTTCCAGATCAGAAAGCAATTCAAGTCAGCTGTTAAGACTATGAACTTAAAATGGATTTCAGAGACCTGATTTGATTTTAAAATCTCAGACTCTGGAAAGCAATTTATGGCAGGGAATTGGTGTGAATAACAAGTTCTAATCTCATAAGTGAGTGGATGAGTCTTCCTTCATTTGGCCCTTCTCACTGCTCTGTATTAGAGCCCAGTGAGAAATGTCTTCCAGGCACAGAGGCAGACAGATTCTGCCTTGCCTTGGTGAGAATTCTCTTAGATCTTACAGGAATCTTTTTTCAGTGAGAGCTAGGTGCTCTTAAGCCCTAACAAGATAGCAGGGCCACCCAAATGTACTGTGGAAAGGGGCCGCATGTAAAAGAACATTGTTAATGCATGTCCAGCTTCCTCATGGAGAAGCATCTGAAAAAATCGGGACAACAATTGTGAGACACTATTAGATCTGTTATCCTTTCACCAACAGCAGAGAGAAGCTGTGTTGGTTCTGGTCCCTGTACAGATCCTTTGGGATCCAAAAAGGTCAAATACCCTGGACATTTTGCCCATATGGTGTTGCAAATTCTCTGCTGTCCTGACCTCAGATGTAACGACAGTCATGGGACCACTTTTCATCCTGTCAGCAGTGGTTGTGAAAAGAAAACATTAGTTTCCTGCAGCTCCAACTTCCGACCTCCTTCCTAACTCTCTGTTCCTGTCTTCCCCTATTTCCAGTTGCAAAGACTGTCACTTGCTTCTCAAAGCAGCTGCAATGTCTCTGTCTCCCCAACACGGTCACACCTTTCCTGTCATGTCCATGGTAGTCTTGAGTGTTCTCTCCAGGAGGTGTTTATACTTGGTGTCTCAGCACTGAGTGCTTTCCCATCCCCAGAGCTGCTGTGTCTGTTTACTGTGAATGAACTGTCTTTTCACTCCTGAAATACTTCCTTTGACTCTGAGTATGTGTTGCGGTATTAAAACTTTCATTCTAACATGTTGGGCAAAGTCCTCCTTTTCTTTCCTTCATGGGGATCCTGAAGCTGTCTTGGTCTTCCATCTGGAGGTCCCTTTGTCCAACAGTTCATGCAAGATAGACTGGAGGTAACTCCTGAACAGTAGAATTAAGGCTAGCTCATTGTATAATACAACTTCATTGCAGTCGTCAAGCTTCTCCAGAGAGACAGTGCCCACTGGCTGTATGGGAGGAGGTTTATTATAGGAATTGACTCACATAATTACAGAGACCCAAAAGTCCAGCTCTCTGCCTCCTGTGAGCTGGGAGAATCTGGAAAGCTGATGGTGTAACTCAGTCCAAATCTGAGGGCCTGAGACTAGGGGGACTCATGATATAAGCCCCAGGCCAATTCCAAAAGCACTGATGTTCAAGGCAGGAGAAGATGGATGTCCCAGCTAACAAACTTTTCCTTCCTTGTTATTTTCTTCTCCTGCCCTGAGCAGATTGGAAGATTCTCACATGCATTGGTGAGGGTGGGCTTTTCACTCAGTCTACTGATTCAAACTACAATTTCTTCCAGAAATGACCTCACAGACACTCACAGACATGTTTTACCAATTATGTGGACATCTCTTAGTCTAGTCAAGTTGATGCATAAAACTAACCATTATGCTCATCATCTTTGCTAGACTGGAAAAATGCTGGTCTTGGGTGGAAATTGCGCAGACTTACTAGCTATTTTGGAAGATGGGTGGGTTCTCTTGTGTGTTAAAGAGTCTTGAAGGTGTAGAGAGGTGGTAGATTGGCAGTGGTGCTTTCATTGTGGCCACAAGAAAACAGTGTCTCATCTATCCTTGCATCTTGCAAACTCTATCACTGAGTATCTGAAAATCCCCGCAGCCTAAACAGAGAGAAGAGGTGGGCTCTGTTCTGTAGAACATCAGGGGTCGGGTGGGATGTTCCAGCCTCTTCTGTATGTCTTCAACAGTGTTGCAAATGATTCCAGAATTCTGGAAGTTCAATAGCCTCACCACTAGTAAAAACTTAATAAAGAATCAGTTGTGTTCTGTTTTTTGTTTTCCAAAGACTATGTAGAATATTCTGGATGAATAATATCCCATCCAAGAAAATGTAATTTTTCTACAATACATTACATTTTTTAAATTGCTTAGAATGTAATACTGACCTGGCTTGCTGTTTTTCACTATGTTATTCCAAAAGGTCACTATGTGATGCTTCTGTTAGAAATAATGCTGTCGCCCCCAAATATCTATATACACCAACACGCCCTTCACTCTGCCCTCTGCTCAGACCCTATGTTATTAGACAGGCTTCCCCGACCCTGCTGTATAAAACTCCCCTAAACCCCAACTATCATCTCTCCCTTTGATAATAGTGGGTGACCCAAGAAAGAGATGCAGATGGATGGTGGATAAGGGTGGCTATTTCCACTTTTGTATTTTTTGAAATTCTGAATCATGTGATTCAGAATCATGTATACATGAAATTCTGAAATTCATGAAATCATGAAATTCTGAATCATGTATACATTTTTAACTAAAAAATTATGTATTAATCTAAACAAGTTGCCCAAGTTCTCAATGTTTTTTTTTTTTTTTCTTTTCCAGTCACCAGTTTCTCCCCTGCTGTGGAGTCAAGGCTGTCTCACTTAATTCTACCACCAAAATATTGCAGGACTACCCAGCAACCTTCAGGGTCAAGGAGGTCAGATGACCCTAGCTCAAGGGTAAGTGACTTTGGTTTTGGATATGTTGTGAGAAAATTGAAAGTGGATGTCTACACTGAGAAGGTTTATTAGTTTCCTATTGCACCTGTAACAATTACAACAAATTTAATGATTAGAAACAACACAAGTTTATTATCGTATCATTCAAGAGAACAGAAGTTCAAAATGAATCTTGCTTTGCTAAAGTCGTGATTCACCAAGATTGTGTCTTTTTAGGCAATCTAGGGGAGATTGTGCCCTTTCCTGACTTTAAGAGACTCTTCCCATTCCTTGGCTTCATCTTCTTGACAAGAGGCCATGTTACAATATCACTCACTCTCTGCTCCAAAGTTGGAAGGAAGAAGCAGGATAAGTTTCTTCTTTTTCATTAAATCCCAAGATTTGAATTATTGGGTATTAGACTTACACTCAATTCAATTTTACAAATGTTTTCTGGACACTTCCATAGCAGTTGTATTAACTACAGTTGTCTCTACCAACAAACATGATAGGTGCCTTCCCTTTGAAACTGATCCTGTCCCCCACGCAATAAACATGGTGTGTGACTCACCTTTGTTCCAGGTGTCCTGCATGATCCTCAGGTTGGGCCTGTGCTCAAAGCAGAGAAAGTCAGAAAACTAACTGCTCTCTGACTTTTCAGTCCAGAATTTGCAAAGTGTGGTAGATAAAATAATACCTCTCCCCAAAGGATTCTCATATCTAACTCCCTGGAAACAATGAATATGGAATCTCATACAGGAAAAAGAACTTTGCACATGTGATTAAGAATCTTGATAGGAGAACACCATCCTAGGTCATCTGAGTGGTCAAATACAACCTCAAGAGAAGCAGAAAAGATTAGACAGGGAAGTGTGTGTACAGGGGTATGTGTGCATGTATGTGTGAGCATACAGGCTATAGGTGTGTATGTGTGTGTGTGTATGTGTGTGTGTGTGTGAGTGAGTGATAGAGAGTGGGGGCAGGCAGATCTTCTGGCCTTGAGTCTCTTGCACACATTTAGATTCTGCGAGCTGCTCTGGTATCCTTCCTTCCTTTCCATTTAAACTAATTACAGGAGGGTAAGTGTCACTTTCAAAATCTTGTATGCATTGGAATTCTGTCACTTTCAACCAGGAAAGTCGTGACTAATATATCTATTAGGTGTCAGACACATGCTGTGAGAGATAGAGATAATGATGAAGAAACATATTCTCAACAAATTTTGGATCAGCTTGATATGGTACACAGATGAAAGTCCTAACATATAGAGGCTCATTATCTTTTTTTTTTCTTTTCAACTTTTATAAAGATATTTCTACTAGATATATTAGGTAATATCTAGTATATATTGAAAATGTGTTCATATACAGATACAAAAAGTATGATGCTTTTTGCTATAAATGTGTACTTTCTCCACAACTTGGCTGATAGCTCTTAATAATTTGATGTTATATCTTATAGTTTTGGCATCTTAAATCAAATAAATTGTATTTGCCTCTCCACCTACACTTATATATTTATAATGTGTTCTTTCACTTGGAATGATATGGCAAGAATTGTTATGTGGTCTTAATTATATTCTTGAAGAAATGAAGTTTATTGACTTCATAGAAGTACATTGAACTTCTGCCATAAGTAATCACATATTGTGGACATGTTCTTCTTTTTCACTATTATAAATCATGATATTGATAGCTTTATATGGCCATTACATTAAAACTTAAATTCTTAAAAGACAGAAGAAATCTGCAACTTAATGAAGAGGCTAATTTGACTTTCTGAATTAGAAGTATTTCCTAGAAGTCAACAAGTAAATTCAATAAAAAATACTTTTGAAAAATGACATGAGATAGCAATTCACCTATATAGTTCCAAAATTATCTATATTTCCATATATAACAATTTTATATTTCCTCTGTGGAAATGTAGACATCCTCATTGTAATGATGATATTCAAATGATGACTTAACCAATTTCTGAAATTAAATGTCAACAATGTTAACAATCACAGTATCCACCATCTAGTGAAAATCTAACCATATATAGTAATTATGTATGTATGTATGTATGTATGTATGTATGTATGTATGTGTGGGCATACATGTCTGTACGTATATTGAGGTAACCAGTTGGATAGGTGATAGACAGAATAGATACACATAAACTATAAAGCAAGCAAGTAGCAGCACAAAAGGGAAATAGGTGCTTTTGTCCCTCCTGCCTCCAGTATCCCTCTATTTTGTACTATTGGCATCCCCTGAGAAGATATTGCTGGAAAAGTATATAAGAAATTTAGGATGAAAACTTCCAGACCACAATATAGAAGAGGTAACCTGGAGCAGAAGGCAAATATTTAGAACCTAAGATCCCTTCTGTGACCTCACATTTCAAGAAGGCAGCAACTCAATATGGTTTGGCTTAGCATTCTTTCCTATTGCCTAACCTTCTGCCTGGCTTAGAATAAGTAATTTACTAATATATGTAGAATGGATACGGAGGATTCTGAATTTAACAAAATGTTAATTTCTAAATACGTGATTTCTACTAATAGCTTTACACACATACATCCCATTCTTATGAAAATTTTTAATCTACTTTCCCCCACATGAAGAATGGAGGTGGATTGAGAATCTAGTCGGCTTCTGAGGCATAAACATGAGTAAACCTTATTGTGATCAAAATGAGGATAGTTGACTCAGTTGGGAGACATGAACACCTTCAGAAGACTTCTTGCTATTCTCTTTGACATGCGTTAACCTCATTTGGTGGAAGAAAGGGTGAAAGCTGATGAGATAGTCATCTCAATCTCTGGGTTAGTTTAATGCCAACTTGTTTGGAAGTTAGTTACTTAAAAATAGCTTGATCGTTACATCACAACCCAAATAGACTGAGTATAATAAGGAATTTGTCCCTTCAACTCACTGTGAGTTCGTAGTTGCATTCCTCTATAGATCCAGTTATTCACATGCACAGCGAGACTCAACTAGGAAGGGCCCTCTCCATGGGACAGAGCATGATCACAAGTGGAAGAAAATGTGCCAAAATAGACTTAAAATGTCTGAAATGCTAGGATAATGAGGATGGAGAAAGTGATATCATTAAAATTGCTTTTAATAATTAAACTCATGAGAAAATGAATTTAATGGGAAAATGGATATGGGATAGATAGTAGAAAGAAGAGTGAAGAGATAGACAATAGTAAATTGCACAAAGCAGTCATTTATGTTTGAACTGTTGAGTCAACACAAGAATAAGTGGAGAGGAGCTTTCTAACTTGTCGAGTAGAATTGTCAGCATTCATTTTTCCTTGCTTTGGGAGTTATGGTGCAACTCATGGGATTGACTAATGGGAATTGAGGCATCATGGGCATATTTCTGAAGCAATCCTACCACCTGGCTGTATCTGCTTAGGCTAGCACTAAAATTTGTGTTACATAATTAGGGAAGGCATGACTGCCAGAAAATTGGGTGAGATGGAAAAACAAACTTCCTGGTGCTGAAAGTTAGAAAAGACAGGAGATGAAGGTGATTGAAAGGAATCTTCACTGTCTGCTGTGATGTTGACATTAGATTTTCCTTTCCCCAATTCTTTGTAAATGCTATGTGGCAGGAACTGACTCCTGCAGGCTGTTGAAATCCAGAGAATTACACATATTGGCTACACCCACATCTGCCTATCTTCACTGGCAAAGGCTAATGAAAATAAGAATAATCATACATGTCTCTGAGAGTTTTCTTAAATGTGAAATGTTGGTGATTGCCTACTTCCTAAAGGCCATTAGGAATCTTAAAAGCAAACCACATGAAAGTCTTTGGCATTGGTTCTGGCATGTAAAAACTTTTCTGAAAATACTGGTTCTTTTCTTGTTCTACGTTTGTTAAATGAAGAAGTGGGACTCAAAGATGCCTGAAGTCCTTTCTATCTTAAGATGCTAAGACTCTGAATAGCAATACTGTTACCACTAGCCACATGCTATTCAATTTCAAGTAATTAAAATTAAAAATTTACTTTCTCAGTTGCACTAACAACATTTTATAAGTGTTAAGTGTTCAAGTTGCAGGTAACTCAGCAATTTATGGGACAGAGAGAATATGGAACACTTCATCAGTGGAAAATTTCTATTGGGCATCATTAGGTAAAATTTTGAGACATTACATTAGGGGATCATTCTTTAGAAATGAACTCCAAGTTGTTGGGTCAAAGATAAGTTAGAAAAACAGCAAATATATACCTCAGTACCAGTTGAGTTGAATAACCCGATGGATCACATTTTTTTTTTTTTTTACACATTCGTGCTTTAGAGGAGAGTCTAACCTCTAACTCATGTATGTTTGTGATTCTCTGAATTATAATTAATGCTTTCCTCTAATGCTATGTTCACTGCATGGCAGATTAAAAGCTTCAAAGGGATCTTGTAAAACAAGAGTTCTGGAGATTTAGTCTTGGCTGACAGCAGTTCCTCCCATTAGGGGGGAATACATCAGAAGGATTGAGCTCTGGAGTCTGCAGAACTTACAGGCATGGTGATGAAGACATGCGCAGATTATCTCATCTAAAACTCAGAAGTTCTTCAGAGGAAGTATCAGTGTTCCAGTTTCAGAGAAGGACACTGAAATTTGGGAAGTTAAATCCCTTATCTGAATTACACTTCTAGTTGGTAGGTAAAATCAGGGTTGATATAGCACTTTGCATGCCTTGTGTAAGTGCTGTGGGAACACAGTGGCAGGAGGCATTGTGGGGGCTTCACGTCTGACAAAATATTTGATTTGTATGACAACAGGAAAGGAGGGAACTCTTCGGGAGTGGAGTGGGTAGTGTGGTTAGATGATGAGTGACTTTTCAACATAATGTAATTAACTTCTAAAAGAAAAATAGTGGCTTCAGTTTAATCGAGGATTGAGGGAAAAGGGAATCTGACCTCTCCATCCCTCTTGAGACTCTTGTTGGGACTTGGGGCTAGTAGTGTGGTCTACAGCAGCTATCTCAGTCTCTTGGCACATTCTCCTGGTCAAATGTGTTTCTTGATGTCATTTTCATTAGAATTGTGGCTAAAAGCACGTCATGACTGCTGTTCTGTCTCACTGTGACATTTCTTTCTCATCTTCCTCAGTCATGGAAGTCATCCAGGACCTATGGTCAGTCTCAATACTGTGGGTAGACAGAGAAGATGGAGAGGTCAGATTCCCTTTTCCCTCAATCCTTGATTAAACTGAAGCCACAATTTTTCCTTTAGAAGTTGAGATTATTGAAGTGAGATGTTTCCAGGGAGGCACTCTGCAATGGAACACTCTGATGATGGAAATATCCTATCTCTGTGCTGTCTAATATGGTAGCCACTAACCATAGCTGGCTATTGAGTACTCAAAATTTGTTGAGAGAATTTTAATAATATTCAATTTTAATTAAATTCAAATTTAAGTTGTTACGTTTGCCTGTTGGATTCTGCTGCTATAAAGTGTCCATACTGTTGATATACTCTGTCCTCTATAGTTACCTAGAAGATAATATTATACCCAAGCAAAATTTACCTTTCTTTTGGATGTTGGAAGAAGTTCATTGGTGCCTTATTCCCAAGAAGTTCTGAAGATACATGCTAATTCTGCTCTATCATTAGAGCATTTTGCTCTTATCTCTAAAGATTTGCTCTTATCTCTAAAGATAAGAACTTGATGTTGTCAAATTCTATCATCACTTCCCTACTCTTACCTTCTCCACTCTCAGCAACATTCAGCATTGATCATTCCACTCTTATTGAAATCCATGATTCCCTTGACTTGTAGGACACGATATTTTTTGGATTCTCCCTTACCTTCCTGACCCCTCTTTCTCAGTATTCCATTATTTCCTCTCTTTTCTCCATTGTAATTTAGAGGCTTCTTCTCTAACACTCTCTCCCTGAGTGACCTCTTCAATTCACATAACATTAAATAGTGTCTATATATCTGTCATCTAGTACTCATTTCCCCAGCTCTGATCTCTCCCTTGAAGCATAGGCCCAGAATCATCATATATATGAGGCCTCCTTGACATATCCATTTAAATGTCAAATATGCATCTAAAAATTAACATTATCTAAATAGAACTTTTGAGTCTTTCCCAAATGCTACTCCTACCTATTCTAAAACAGCTCTCCCATCCATTCTGTTCTTTCCTATCTCAGTAAATGCTTATACCATCCTTCCAATTTCTTAAGCCCAAACCTTGGCATTATTCTTGATTACTCACTTTGCATAATCCCTCAGAAGCAATGGAACATCAAGTCCTCTTGACTTTACATAAAACACATTTGCCTTTTTTCATTTCCACTGCCATGACCCTAATCTAAGCCATCACCACTTTACCACTTCTCACCTGGATGATTGAAATAATTTCTATGGTTTGAATCAATCTCTCTGAACAAGAAATCTAGCTTCTTTATCTGTAATATGAAGCATTCACAGCTTCTTCTCTCCAAACTCATCTGCCTGTATCCCACTCTCTCTCACAACTCCAACCATACTCACTTGCTTTCTTTTCCATGGCCACATCAATTCCATTCTTGACTATGACCATCAAACCAGCTATCCCTCTACCTGCAACACTACATCCTTTTCTTTGCATGACTGGTTCCTCTTTTTCACTAAGGTCTTGGAATAAAAACAATGTCCCTGGAATAACCATTCATACCAACGCAGTCCAAGAAGCACTCACTTTGGTTTCTCTCAATAACCTAGACCTCTTAGAAAATACATTGTGATTGTTTAATACCCTCTTTTTCCAACAAAAAATGCAAGCTTAGTTAGACGAGAATAAGTTCCTATCACACAGTGGATACTAAACTCTTACTAAATTAATAAATTATTTAATCTTGCATATGGAGGGCATTTAGCATTTTTTTCCAAAAACCTTCTGAACTGTTGCTTCATTTAAATATTATAAAGACATTGTAGGTAGGCAAAACTGCTGTGCATAATTTGAAGATAAAGATTAAAGAAGCCTGGTGATGTTCCCAAGTCTTGGTGTGAAGGAAGTGGTCATAGGTTTTCCTCATTCAGTATTAATCTAGAATAGCACTTAAAGGAATAAAAAATGATACCTGGTGTGTACTTAAGACATCTGTGCTGGCTGCCCTGATTATGTTACAGTGGAAATGCTGGGCCATGTCTTCTTATTACCCTAATTGACAGCTTAATATCTGTACTTAATAGTCAAGTACACTTGATGGATGAATAAATAAATACATGCATTAATAAGTTAATTTTTTCCACCTTTGATGGTACTGCATCATAAATACAGTGGGTTATTATTAGTTATAATTGGTTGTTAGCTTTGGAGAATTTTTTAGAGACTGTAGTCCTAATTTTTGAGACATATGGATGATCAGGATTACTGATCTGGTTTGTGTTGATTCAACACTTCCAGAACTTCAGGAACAATGTATGTTTAGGATTTAAAAATTAGACTAGTGTTAGGGAGTTCTTAGAAAATGACATGCAACAAAGACATTTTTTAACTTTCTCTGAATACCCATGGGAAAACCAACAGAAAAATTGCATAGCAAAACAATACTTGTGGACAACATGTACAACAAAACTAAATGACCAGTATCCCTATAAATCCCAAAATACAAGTATATGAGGACAAGCAACTCATAGCTACAGAACTGAATCACATTAGCATTTTTGTTGACAGAAGCAGAGAGAAACAATGGGGCTTTGAAGGACCTAGGACTATTACCTCTAAGGAGCCCACAACTCCTTGTTTAAATGCTGAGGACAGCAGTTGATGCTGAGAAGTGTTGTGTCTGCTTCAGTGGCAGAATTCATAGTACTGTCTGAAGAAGCTGTTCAGGTTTGGCTGCCATGAAAATTTAAAATAGAGTCACCCAGGCACCTGTTACCTGGCCAAGGGGAAATTGCTATGGGGGGATTTGGAGTTGAGCAGTCTAGAAATAAGAGAGGGAAAAGGGAGGTATGTCTCAGAAAGAAGACTGCTGTTTCTTTCTATCCTGAAAAGAAGAGAGATGGTGGACTATATAACAATATCCTGCACCCCATCTCTTTCTAAAAGTTGAGTGAAGAATCAAATATGTATTCTACCTGCTGACAATGAAAAGGAAATACAAGAATCAGAATACCAACATCGTGCAGCCCCTAATAAATGGGTATAAGCATCAACATCATCTTTTGCTGACATCAGGAAGAAAGCGACAAGCAGACATGATATTCCTGGTGATAAAAAAAGCAGCACACTACCTCTGGTCTTGCCAAAGGAATTGAACATGAGGCTTATCAAATTTCTGGATCCAGCTGTTAATTTGCAAGATTTGTAGAAGACAGAGGAAGATTTTGAGCAGCACCATGAGTATGCAATCAGCAAATTCTAGACTGTGTGAAACTCTACCAGCCAAATGACCTAGTTGTTTTGTTTTTTTTTCCCCCCACATATACTATAAGGAAATGAAAGGCATGAGGGAAGCCTTCAGATTAAAATAGATTACAAAGACAAAATACAAGACCATACTTTTGGATGATAAAGCTGTGAAGAAGTGATTATTATAAAAAATGAATTATGGTAACTTTATGACCTGGGATGTGGATATTGGACATTTACACCTATCATAAGTCGTTAAGCAATACATTTAATTGTTTTATGTGTATGCATGTTCTTACAATGAAAGTTTTGAAAATTGACTTATCAATGTTTTAGATTATTCTAAGAAATGGGTGAGCATTTGGGGATTTCCAGGGACAGGAATGGTGATTGGAGCCTCATATGCTGCGAGCACTGTGAGTGAAGACTTGGCCAGGAAGGGCTCAAACCACTTTGCTGTCCTCATTTACTGTCTCCTCTGGGTCAGGACGGGAGAGGGTCAGGGTGATATGGTGTGACAAACATTATAAGACTGTTCAGCAAAGTTTTGTCTGAGTTGGACAGCGGGGGCTCACCGTTATGCTTTTCCAACCCCAGGTCAGCAGGGATTCAGAAGGCAAGGGCTTGACTAAAAGGCTAAAAGACATGCTGAGTCAATGTTAATTGCTCCTGCTAATTTGTATGCCAAGCTCTTCACCAGGACCTGAGGTAAGGAATGCCCTGTGCCACACAAACAAACAAACCATGTCCTATAGAAATGCAAAACTAGAACCAATGTGAGTGAAATTGCTTCTGTATAATTCCAAGAGTTAGTTTCTCTTTCCTAAGGCAGAAAGAGGTCACAGAGAAGATGGCTCTCTCAGAAAGCATAATTACCTAATACTGCAGTGCTGGGGGGTGAAAAAGGTGTCACAGTGAGTATACTGGTCTTCTCTAAAGAATATATCTCTAACTAATTGACTAGGACAACCTGCAAATTACCACTGACCCAGAATCATAAGTAATGTTGACCAGCCCCAGAAAATGGTTCCACCATTCACCAATTTGCTATGAATCAAACACTTATTTTTATCCTTCCGAACCTAACAACATCTCTCTTATGGACTACAGGAAATACACTCCTCACTAATCTCCCTGATTTTGGTATTTGCTCGCTAAATTGATCCTTTATGGTGCATTCTGTTCAATTCAGTATGGTTTCAATTACTTACTGACACCAAGAAAATAATCCAAATGCTACTCCACGGCAAAAAGACCCTGATGCTTTCTGAACTCATTTACTGTCTTTCTTCCCTTTCTACTCACTAAACCTCAGGCATCCTGCCTTCTTTTTGCCCACAATATGGCAAGTCCAATTTTACCTTCTGGCTTTGTACTTCTTGTTTTCTCTGTCTGATTTCCTGTATAGTCTAGCTCTCTCAGATCATTCAGCTCAGTTCAAATATTGCTTCTTCAACAGGTTTCACTGATGCAATTTAAAGGAGACTTCTCAGTCTTCTTATATATCATTGTTTTATTTTTTATCATCATAGATTTTGTCTTGATTTGATTTCCTCACTGTACCTTTGACTATCTGGAATGACCATGTTTACTTTTATTCTACCTTCTGGAAGTTAACCTCCATTCATTTGTCTGTCCTGGTCTCCACCTTTCCCTCCCTGGGTATAGCTCTGTGCCTTCTGTAGTAGGAACTCAATATTTGCAAATGGGTGGATGAAATAAATTGTTTTCTGATTTATGAAATTTCACAACCTGCTTAATACCTTTTTAAAATGGGAGACATTAATAGGACATACCTCACAGAGTTGTGGCAATTAAGATCATTAATGCAATAATGAAAAGTTGTTCTCAATTATTTTTGTTGTGTTGCTCCAACTGAGGAGATATTACTTGAAGAATTAAAAATGTTTAAATCAGTCAGATGAAAAGCTGTGTGGAAGATGAGACAGTCTGGCTGTGAATAAGCAAATCAATGTGGATGTTATCCTCCTGTTATGTTTCCAACACCTTGGAATTTCACATAGTTTATGGCCATTAGCACTTTTTGTTGATTTTTCATTCTCTTATTTTATGTCTTCTATTAGAGATTTTTCCATTGGAAAGAACTGATTGTTAAACATCTTTGGGTCACTACATTTTAGTCCCATTAGAATTGTAGTAATTATTTATAGACCCAGAATTTCAGTGTTATTAATAATAGTTTCATAGTTACACATTTTTATTTCAGCTTTTGCTAAATTGGAGTCATCTTAGAGTGTGACACACAGTCCATGGTAATATATATATATATATATATATATATATATATTCTACATAATTACTATCTACAGATTTTTCAGTATATTAGGTACTGCTTAGGAAAAAAATGTGTATGTCTTTATACTGTTTATTTTTGTCAAATACAGCATATTGAAAAGAATTGCTTGGAAAAGATATGTTCAAAGGTCAGTTAGTTACACATTTGAGCACAATTCTGTCCCACAGGGAATGAGAATTTATGGCCCTCCAAAGCTCTGAGGCTGAGGAATGAGGAAAGCTGTCCTGTGGCACTGCTGTACTCCAAAAGGCTGTGTGGCCTTGAGTATGTTAGTTGCATCCTTTTAGGGCCTTATGCATGTATTCAAAGGTATAAGATTAGCAGACTACTCATTTATTTTCTTGTATCATATCTTGATTATGAATGACATACAATGACTCCTTTAGAAGAATCTTTGATTAGGCATGTATCAATTTGTTAATTTCAAAGAAAAAGCAGTCAATATACATATTACTTAGGCATGGTGTTGATATTTTACTTATACAACCAAAAGTTATGATTTTAAATTAAGTATAGCTGCATTTGATCACAAAGCTCAACTAGGAGTGTTCTATTTCTTGTCGAAGCAGGAGTTCTATGTTCCAGACTCTAAATCTTAAGGTAAGGGAAATATGTAGCTCAACAATTTCCCTATATCAAAAGGAAAAATAAAGGCATGTACGCTTGCCCTATTTCCATAAGTAGCAATGGGCCACAAGTTGTCATATGACAAACTACTAACTTCACCTTTTCTAAGCCCCTGTTTATTCTGTAAAGAATAAATGTCACCTGCTGCAGAGATTTCTTATTAATCTGCTGGGGCTACCATGACAGAGTTCCACAGATTGGGTGATTTAAACAACAGAAATGAACTTTCCCCTGGTTCTGGATTCTTGAAGCCCAGATTAAGGTTTCCAGAGCATTGGTTTGGTGGAGACCTCTCTTTCTGGCTTACAGAGTTACCTTCTCACTGTTCCCACATGGTGTTTCCTCTGTGTGTCAGGGCTCCTGGGTGCCTCCTCCTCTTCTTATTGTAACATCAGTCCTATTGGATTAGGGCCCCACCCTTAAACATCATTTAACATCAATTCCCTCCTTAAAGGCCCTGTTCCCTAGATATCGTCACATTGGAGATAAGGGCTTCAACATATGAATTTTTAGGGTGCACAGTCCAGTCTATAATGAGTGGTTATGAGGACTATAAAATACTTGCCAAGTACCTAAAGCGGTGCTTGATGAATTAGACTGATCCTCAATGTATATATTTTTTAAATTAAAAAATCTTGGCATCCCTAGTGAGCAATTAGCATAGGCAAGGCTGATGAGCAGGCCATGGGCGATAGGTACCCCAGGATAGCAAAACCAAATGGTTTGTAGTTATAAGTCATTAACCCTGTTTAGACTATTTTCAGGAAAGTTTTCTCTCTCTCATTTGTCTAGATCAGCACTTGACTTAATGATTTTCCTTTAGCCATTGTTTGCATATGCAAATGTGTCCTTAGGAGTGAAAACTGGTTGGTTGTCAGTTCCAATGCTCATAAAGTTTAAGGTAGCTTCTGAGTCAAGTTGGCCCCTCCAGAGCTCTTGGTCTATGAAGACCATCACAGACCTGGTCTGCCATGTTCCTGGTTACCACTGTCGCCAGTGAACATCCACCCTTCCTGGGACTAGCTCCTGCTTTTTGTCTCCGCTGAATCTTGGCCACACTCAAAGGAAGGTCTATGAATTGCACATCTACCAGAAAGATTAAGCTTTGATAGGAGATTCTGGCCTTATATTTTGCTGCTCTTTCTATGGGAAATGTTCCAGTAATAGAGATGTGTGGGCCGATTAAATTTTTACTGATATTTGAAAACTGAAGATTGAGGTTAATACATATAGGATCTAGTGATATCTAATTTATCTCTAAATTTGATTTATCGAACCCTGCAGTATAAGTGCTGCAATTTTTTAGATTATACCATAAAGCTACTTAACCATGAAAATGGCAGTGCTAACGTTGACACTCTCAGTTCAGATGCCGGCAGGAAAAGGGTTGCTTCAGCCTCAGGCTTGGAGAGGCAGGTATGTGGCCTGGCTGTACACATTCCCCATGATTTCCTGAGAGGCTCACTGCAGCTCGCTATGGGGAAGAACCAGGCTCTGAACTCCCTGGCAACACCTCTCTCCTGTGGGCAATGAAGAGAGTTAATACCAACATACTCAACCTTTACCCTTTCTTTTCTTTGGCGACCATTGTCTCCCATTACACTCACCCATTAATTATAATTTTCAGTATAGACATATCATCCAGTAGTTAGACCTCAGGGCATAGGAATCATTGTACCAAAGAACTCAAGAGTTGGAAAGAAAACTGGTGATAATATGTTCAGTATAGACAGGAAATAAAAACCGAACAAGATGTAGTGTTTTCTCTGTAAACCATAACATCCCAATCTGTGGCAGAGATGAAACTAAAAAGCAAGTCTCTGAGTCTCAGAGCAGGACTTTGTGTTAAGACTGTAGTTAACAGGAGTGAGAACTAGGCTTAATTTAGCCCATACAGCAGGACTATGATAATTTGCATGGTTAAGTGAAAAAACAAAACTGTCAAAGGTATTCATGAAAATGAAGATGAGACCTGGATTAGATCTTCAACTTATTTATAGATCTTCCCAAACTGATGTAGGCAGAATTTTTCAGGTGGACTTCAAGTTTTCTATCCCAACAAATCCTGTTCCTTTGAGTATGGACAGGGACCCGTGACTATGATGGAACACCAGTCTCATGAGGAATTTTGCAGATACAGTGAAGGTCTCTTAGTTGCTAATCACAAATAAATATTACAAGTCAATCAACTTTGAGTCCATCAAAAAGGAGTGTTCTGGGCCTCCCCGGTGGCGCAGCGGTTGAGTGCTGGCTTATGAAGCTGCCCACAGCCTCTGCAGTGCCGGTTCGATCCCGGGCTGCTCCCCAACCACCGGAGGAGGGTCCCACATGGCGCGCAGACCTCTCCTGCCACCTGCTGCTTCCCTCAGCAGTGTACTTCGGTCCTTCTGCCTGGCCTGCTCCCTGCTCTGGCTCTGGTGAATTCTCTCACCCTCCCGCGCTTCTGACTGTACCCAGTGCTTGCATAAATAAGTAAATAAATAAAAATAAATCTTTAAAAAAAAAAAAAAGGAGTGTTCTTACTGAGCCCAACTTTGTCAGGTGGGTTGTTCAAAGAAGTCAGAGAGATCTAAAAAGAATAGGGAATTCTGTGTGCCTTCAAGGAGCAGCCCACTAGAAGTTCTGCAGAGGACACAAGAATATTTGATTAGAAAAAGTAATCAACTAAAGACTGTCACTCTACATCTCAATTGCCCTTAATAATAGTCAACATGTATACCTTACCACTTTCTTGTCACTGTTTCTGACTACTGCACATGTCCAC